CTGGGGTACAGTGATAAAACTGAGTTATAAAGATTATATTTTGAAGTTATTTATGTTGGGGCGACTGCTGTTTTTCATCCTAACACAAAGCTTCTCTATGGCCTCCTCTTATCATTCCTGTTCCTTTGTCCAAAGCAGTCACCGAATGTGTGTTTCAAGGTATGGTGGCATTTTAAGACATAGATAAGGTTTCTGTGACAACTTTTCATAACTTTTTACAATCCCATGTCATAAAACAGAGAATTGTTTTGACACCAATTAATAGTGGGTTTTTTTATTATTTTCACCACTTCAGTGGTCTATAACTTGTCTTGCTATGTTATCAACCAAGGTTATTTTCTTCTTTCATTTTTTATATAATACACGTTCTATTATTTATCCTAATGCTACTTTTTATTCTAGTGTTCTAGCAGTCATCTGTATACCCTGTGTGTTTTCATTTTCCCGTGCTACTTGTACAGTACGATTTTTTGATCATTCACTTTTCAGTCCAAACATGCATTACGAATGAATGCAAGCATCTGACTGTGTCGTTGTCTTCTAATGTGCCTGAGCAATTACATATTGAAACAGTCATGCTTGAACAGTTACATAAGGCAATACACATTATCAGAATTTACTTTTCTTCTATATCTCCTTAATGTTTTATTTAAGGCTTTGCTTTTTTTTGACATTATATGTATGGGTGATTAGCAGTGAACTTCAATTCAGGATGGCACAGGGGGCGTTACTAAATACGTGTTACGAAAAGTGGACGTTTGTTCTGATAGAGTGGAGAACCACTGTCTTAAGCAATCCTTTAAAAACACATGAAAGTTGTCTACAGTGGGATGCCTGCTCCCCAGCTTTCCTGATTTACTCCTATTGTCCTGGCATAATTATTAATTGTGTCCCTTCCAGTGTTGAGAGTCCTTGTTTGGATGATAAATTATATTGCTACACATTTTTAGAGGCATTTCTCCTCCTCACAATCTCGATCACATTATTCACTTTTTGAGCAGTACAGTCTGTCTTGGTCAGTCTTTCTATGTCCTTTGACAAATAGGGTTGGGTCTGCTTTAATCTCCTCCACCGTTGAACTTTGCACTCCTGAGACCTGCCAGCATTCTCTTTTACTCACCCTTGAAAAATCTAAAATAGTTGGCTCAGATCCCCTCAGTGTCTTGGCCTTTCCTTTTGCTCACCGACCTGATCCTGTCCTCACCAATGCTCTTAACTCACTCTTCTATTTTTGGCATTTCTACCTTAATCCTCTTTCCACTTATTTTTCTACATGGCCTTACTGTTCTGCCAATTTTTTGTACTTTTGCAAAATTAATTTTGCCTTATCTGACAGTTTGCAACTTCAAGTTTTTTCCTATAAATAGACTCTGTTAGATATTTTAGCCCAAATTCTCTTTTTGTTTTGATTTAAACTCTGGTGTTAACTCACATTTAAATAAGCATTGCTCAGTACCATTTACTTTTAGCTGACTGCTTGAATATCATAAACTACTCTTATCCTGACATAGAAGTCTCTAAATAACATCCTTTTTGCTATTCTTTGGGGAAATGTCATATTTTTGCTTTTATTTTATTTCTAAAGGAATAAAGCTTTTAGACTAAGATGTTTAGCTCCCAAGAGTTTTAAAAATGCTCAGTCTAATTTTTTTTATTGTGGTAAAATACACATAACATAAAATTTGCCAGTTTAACCACTTTAAAGTATACAGTTCAGTGTCATTAAATACATTCACAATGTTGTGCAACCATCACCACTATCTAGTTCTGAAACTTTTTCATTACCCCAAATGGAAACCCCACACCCACTGAGCAGTTACTCCCGATCCCCTCCTCCTCCAGCCCCTGGAAACCACTAACCACCTTCTTTCCCTGTAGCTTTGCCTCTCCTGGACATTTCATATGAATGGATTCAGGCAATGTGGCCTATTGGATCTGGCTTCCTTCACTTAGCGTGCTTTTCCAAGGTCCATCTATGTCATAGCATGTATCAGTACTTCATTCCTCTTTATGGCTGCATAGTATTTCATTGTATGGCTAGATCATGTTTTTGTTTAACTATTCATCAGTTGATCAGTCCAATCTTTCTGAAATCTTTACTACAAGATGAAATGAGTCATACAGTAGCATGGATGTGTGCAGGAGATAGTACATAGAAATTTCGGGCGGAGTGTCAGTGGTTGGGTACGTGGGCAATGCTGTTGTGTGGAGTGTACATAGAGGCCCTATTCACCCTCTGCTTGGATGCCAGATTTTACTTTCTTTCTCCTCCCTCTCCCTTTTTTTGTAACTAGATCGTGTTTTGTTGTTTTCTTTACCATTGTACAGGTTTTAGAAAATACAGCTGAATAAAATTAGAGTCCCACCCCCAAAAAACAATCACCGTTAATAACATTTCGATATCTTCTGATAATGATCCTGTTTAGGTATTTTACTTTTACCTAATTATGATCACATTGAATAGATAATTTTGTATGCTGCTGTTTTTTCATAAAATGTATTTATTTAACAAATGTTCAAATGCCTACAATATACTGGGGATTGTTCTGGATAACTCTGACGAGTGGGTAAGAAGTTCCGGTGGGGTATGGTTTGGGGGTCGTCAGCATATAGATGATATTTAAATCTGCAGGACTGTCTGAGACCTTCTGGGGGAAGTAGACAGAACTGAGAAGGGGCCCAGGACTGAGCCCTAGGCACCCGGCATGCGAAGGTCAAACAGAGAAGGTCGAGAGAGCAAGAGAGGATGGGCAACCAACTGAAGGCAGAGAGTCTAAAAGAGAAAGAGATTTGAAGGGCAGTGGGCCTTTCTGTCAAATGCTACCGAGCATCTGAGTGAGATGGGGACAGAGGGTCGGCCATTGAGTCTGGCCAGGGGGTGGGCAGCATGGGGCTCAGTGAAGTGGAGAGGACCACAGCCCCTTTGGAGTGTGCTGAGGAGCAAATGGGAGAATATTTTAACATATATCTGCATGTTTCATATATTCTTAAACATAATGTCATGGCAGAATAAGATGTCTAAAAGTGCATTTAACTTAACCACTTATTGTCTTCCTACTCTGTGACATTTACATTGTTTCCAATTTTTACTATCATTTAATACAAAGAAAGCCAAAGTAAACAGCTTTGTAAATTTTCCTCTCTGGTTTTAGCATTGTTCCCTTTGAATGGAGTCACAGAAAGGGGGGTACGGGCGCAAGAGCAGAGCATCTTTAAAGCTTGTGATTTCCCCTTGCTCAAATACTTTCCAGAAGGACTGAACAGTCTGCACTTCCTCCAGCAGCGTCTGCGGGGCCCAGCATCTTGACTGGACGTGTCAGCTGGGTCCTTCCAAAACAAGCCCCTCCTTTCCAAGTTTAGAAGTTCTTTCACCCTTGAATCAAGAATGGAATGGCAAGAACCAAATCGTGTTATGGAACAAAAACTAGACGCAGCTCGCTAAGTAATGTTACATAGAAATGCCCGTATGGAAATCGCCAATTGTATGGAGCCACAACTTACGTGTGATTCGGGTGTTCGTTATTAATCCCTTTCACTAAGGTCCTGGTGGAGCCAGGTATGGGTGAGGGAAATACTCAGCCATGAGCCTCCTCCTCCATGGCTGTGTTCCTATGCAGGCGTATAAATGTGATCAGTGCTAGAATTTAAGGAAGTTTGCCCTTTTCCAGTAAACACCCTGCCTATTCCCCATAGCAGCTGTCTGCTGATATCAGTGAATGACTTTTACCCTCCCCATGCATGCTTTGGGTACAGTTTTATAAACATTCCCAGCTTGTAGCAAAAAGAGAACAACTTCCAGGGTGATCATCATCTCAAAAATGTCCTCTCCTTCACATCCCCATTCCTCAAAATAAAACCCCCACTACTTCATGGTTACTTCCTGGCCATGTTGTGAATAGTTCCTCCCCAGCTGTGGCAGCTGGATACAGGGAGCTGACCCCGGCTGCCTTGCTGGGTTTGCTGTTTAACTGCTTCCTGCCCAGCACAGCAGCAGCTCACCCCGAATCAGCAGCAACCAGTAGGATAGCGCCTAGTGTGGCATCACCTCACCTAAGACTGGCAGTGCCCAGTGTGGCAGCGCCTTGGCGAGGGCTGGCGATGCCCAGCGTGGCAGCACTGCAGATTCTGGGGGAGGTGCTGGCTCTGCCGTAGCTCATCTCCAGTGATCAGTCCTGCTCCACTTGGGCTTGTTGCTGTTTGCTGGGCCTTGAATGGAAGAATGGAGTGTTGATTGTGTCAGTGGAGAATAGAGGTGATAGGAGATGTATGTGGACGTCTCCCTCCCTCCCTTTAACTGGGTCATTTTCTGGAGAGGTGCTGGGTCACCACAGATAAGCCCCCAAATGGAAGACCCAGCGTGACACCTAACAACTCAGCAGAGTGGTTGAGTGTTCGAGAACCCAGCAAATCTGAGTAAATTTCCATACTGTTATCGATTCTGTTACCTTGTGTGACTTGACTGTTTTGATTCTCATTTTTTTTCCTCATCTGCTTAAAACATAGAAGGATAATGTAGTACCAGCCTCATTAACACATTAACTACCACGTGAGTTGTATTTAACTCAATGCTAGTTTGAGCCTGGGGCCTCATGAAGCATATATAACTCACACATCTCTTCACCTTGGGAGCTGCAAGAACTATTTATCACGTTGCACATAACTCACACACAGAAAACAATAAGAAACAACAAATTTTTCATTAAATTAGAAAGGATCATTTTATTTTTGAAGTTTTTGTTCTATTTCCATAATAAAACACCATGGCCCCAAGGAAAAAAAAAAATTTTCTAGTATGGCAATCAATGTGTTAAATTCTTGCAAGAAACGGACACAATAATGTATATGCAGCATCTGCCATAGTGCCCACAGTGGCCCAGCACATGCTCAGTCGGGGTTAACATTAGCGTCATTCTGCCTCCCACCCCTGCTGTGGAATCTCCCTGACTTTCACTGCTCCAAGTTGATGGCTCCGACCTGATCTTCAACGCTTTTTCTTGCAGGGAGTTTTATGAAGAAGCATGGTCAGCCTGTTGTTTCCAAAACCTCGGGGTAAGTTCTGGGATGTCCAAGCCAGAGTAAGGGTTGAATTGGCTTTTCCTGCTGACTTGACCATGATAGGTCTAGGGCATAAGTCTTCTTGGGCCTCTGAGGTCATAACAACTGAAGGGTGGGAGCCTGGTGGGATGTGGTGCGTCGTTCACACAGCACCTGCTGACCTGGCAGCCTCTGTGGGGAGCCCCTATGGCCCAGCTGCTAAATGCTAGGACATGGGAGACGTGGCCAGAGTCTGCAGGGGACTCTAACAATCACGGCAATTGTCAGAACATTTAAATAAGCGGACTTGGGAGAGGCTAGCAACAGAAGCTGCTGTAACGGACAAGCCCCAAATTGCAGTGTCTCAACACAGGGAAAGTTCATTTCTTACGCAAGGGAAGTTCAGTTCAGATATTCGGATATAACAGGTGGAGAGCCTTCCATGTTATTTTTCAGGAACCCAAGCTGCTTCCATTTTGGAGCTTCATCATCTCCTGGGGCCTTGAGCCTCTGATCGACCTTCTGTGTCTCGCCAGCAGAGTAGGCAAGGGAGAGTGTGGAGAATCTCACAGGAGGTTTTTATGGGTCAGCCCAGGAAATAGTATTCAGCACTTCCATTCACAGTCTACTGGCCCAAACCCAGGCTGGTGGCCAGAGCTAAGCAGCATTCAGGTACACCCGATTGCAGGGAATTGTAAAGGAAGTCTGGCTGCACACCCAAGGGTTAGAGGAAATACGTTTTGGTGCCTCAGATTTTTCCAGAGAGGGCATGAGAAAGTATTCAAGACATAGAGTTGGAATGGCTACCCTCCGATCGTTTCTGACCCTAACTTAAGTGACTCAGGTAGGGTGGAGGGAAGAAAATAGAATTGCTGCATTGTCTGGGGCTGGATTATCTGATGGTTTCTTCCAGGGACAGATTTTCAGCCCCTGCAGTGGAGACCCGCCCTAGCATCTGGGGAGAGTGCCCACCAAAGTTCGCTACCAAGTTGGGCCGAGCAGTGGTCAAAGAAGGACAGATAGGACGATTCTCCTGCAAGATCACTGGCCGGCCCCAGCCACAGGTCACCTGGCTCAAGGTGAGATTTCTGTGTTTTCTGACTCTGACCCAGGCCTGGGGACCCTGAAGGTTCAGGGTTAGGCCCTTTGAATAGTAAGAGCCTGTCTTTCTAGTCAGTTCCTTCTGTTTCAACTGCAGGTGGTTCTCGAGGGTTCTCTGTGTGTTTGTTAAAAATGCTTATTTTTGCCCCTATCACACACTCTCCCTGTGTTACTCAGACCACAATGTTCCTGTAATCCTCACAGTCACAAAACAGCGTAAAACTTCTTAGTCAAGACAGACCTGACAATCTCAAGAGAGAGGAATATGAGTTTATGGTACTGAGTTTCAAGCCACAGCTCCCTGATTCATAAAGCATGTGGCACTGGACAAGTCACTGGATCTCTTGGAACCAGTGGCTCTTGGTTTCCTTATCTGGGAGGTAGAAATGATACCACCTACCTCAAATTATTGCCGGGAGGCTCCCTGTATAAGTGCCTTGTAAATCATTCAGGGCTGGGCAAAGTGAAGACAGAGGGGGAAGAGGTGGTGGTGGGGACACGGGGGGTGGGGAGTGGATGTCAAACAGGGCAGTGAGGAATAACAGGGCACAGGTGAGGTCAGAGCCAGGGAGGGTAGGTTGTTCAGAGAGGGAACTCCTGGAGGCAGAGAAAAACTGAAATGAGGAATAGGGGATTTCCTCCCTCAAACTCCGGCTCCTTTGAAACAGCTTCCGTGCACCTGCGCTAAGCTGGACAGAACACCACACCACACCACGTGCACGGGCCACAAGTCAGGGATGGTCTGAAGACGGCTCTCTGAGCACTCGTGTTGACAGAGCCTGGTGCAGAGGGCTCTGCTGCCCAGGCCCTGGTGTCTGTCCCAGCAGGATTGGCAGGAGGCAGGAGGACATTGCCAAAAGGTCAGCAGATCTCTGTGACCAAGCTACCCTATTGCCATCCACAGGGAAACATCCCATTGCAGCCGAGTGCCCGTGTGTCTATGTCTGAGAAGAATGGGGTGCAAGTTCTGGAAATCCATGGAGTCCACCAAGATGATGTGGGAGTGTACACGTGCCTGGTGGTGAACGGGTCAGGGAAGGCCTCCATGTCAGCTGAGCTTTCTATCCCAGGTATCAGCTGTGGGCGGGCTAGTGCAGCAGGGCCCTTTGAGTCTATACGTGGCACGCTACACGCCCATGCAGTCCCCCGGGCACGTCTTTAACAAGAAGAAAGGGGCTGGGGGCAGCACAGGCCCAGCCACAGGGGAAGATGCTGTGCACTGGGCTGCCACCTTTCCCTGTGTCTTCAGTCCCCTCCTCCCTCAGACTCCTTTTTGTATCTCTCATTGCCACCTGGAAGAGTGGGTGTTGCTAATGTCTTGCCATCACCCCAGATTTAACCTGCCTACAATTTACTCATCATCCATTCTGTCCTTGAAATCAGGTTCCCTCAACCTGACGCTGTCTTCCCAGGGTCCCCATGTTCATTCTCACCCAGACTGGACAGGGCAGCGTCCCCTTGGACCCCTCCCCCTTTCCTCCTTGACCCATCAACCCTGTCAGCCCTTCCTTGGAAATCTTTCTGAACATGTCTCCTCCTTACAGTCCCTTGGTCCCTCCAAGTCCAGCCTGGGGACGCAGAGGGCAGATGGGGAAGGGGCAGGAGCCTTGAGGGAGTCAAGGCTTGGGGCATCAGAAGGGAAGTGGCCTTCACGCCTTCCTCCTCCTTTCCCTTCTTTTCTCCTGAGCTTTTTGTCTCTGCATCTCCTTCCTTTCTCAGAAACTATTCCTCCTTGCTCTCGTTACTATTTTTGGCCCAGTCTGTGGGTTTTCCACAATCCACAGAAAGAAATTCATTTTATAGTATGTTACAGCCCAGAACATGTATACAGGCATAAACATACTGAACTGAAACAAGTGTCATGAAACAGTCCTGATCTGTCCCGTGCACGGCACGTGCTGCTGCTCTCTGTCCCACTTGACACTGTGGGCACTGGAAGTGCTCGCCCTGACCCAAGAACTGGACTCGCTCAGCCGCCGTTGCGTCAGGAGCTTCCGTCGGGTGTCCAGAGCAGTTACTTACCTGCTCTCCCTGTGCCTGCCCTGGCACTGGGTTAAAAACTGTTCCCTTCCGGTGGACTTAATGACAAAGTATGTTGCCTGGGATTCGTGTTAAAATACTCAAACAAAAGAAAACAAAAACGGACAAATTAGACTGGCAAAGTGTCGATAGTTCCTTAATCTTGGCACCGACTTCCAGGGTTTGTTCTACCCTTCTCTCTGTTGTATGTTTTGGAATTTTTTATGAAAATTTTTGAAAAATAACGTGGCAGGAAAAAAATATCTTGTATATTTTTTTCTTTGAAGACCTGAATAAAATTACACTTTCTCTATGCATTTTTAAAGCACATATTTGTCAAAAGTGAACACTTTGGTTTTGGGGGGTTTTTTTGTTTTTTTTTTTTTTAAGGCTACCAGCAAGTTACAATGTTTGGGTTTGAACTTTTCGGCAGATGTTTATTTTTGTTTGTCCCAGATTGTTTTCTGTTTCCTTCTGTTTAGTGAGCAGGAAAAGAGTCTACGTCCTCAGGGTATGGTAGCACCAGCCACTATTTAAGAGCAGAGGAAGGGCAGCATTTGCAGCTTTGACAGCATACGCCAGGGCTGGGAGGAATGTCCTCTGGGGCTGGGAGGAATTTGTCAAACCAACCGAAGATGTTCAGCACCAGGGAAGCTGGAAGGAGTGGGCAAGGCGGGACCACAGTGACAGGGAAATGCTTGGGAAGTGAAAACTTGGTGCGTAAAGTATTCCACTAACATTCTTTCCACTCTTCCCCCGTTTCCAGGTTTGGACAATGCCAGCAGGTATGTCCAGGCTTTGCGATTATTATGCTTTCCATCTTGAAATGCCCTGTAAGGAAAGAAGGATTGTTACCGAGAAATGCCCTCGGTTTTCAAGTCCTTGTACAGGGAGTGAGAACTGGCTGTTTGGAGGATGTTGTTTTATTTCGAGTGTTTTGTTTTGTCCTCCTATTGTAATATGCCATATGGGCTCTATATCACCTTACTATTGGCGCTGAGATTCTCAAAAACTCAGTGCCACCAACTTTCTCAGTATCCGTGCAGTACCTTCACCAGTGAGCCGTCGTTAGGGAGGGCGCTCTGCCCGGAGAAGGCCACCTCGCGCATTCCAGACCAAAATCCAGCCGCTCATCCAGCCCGGTTCCGCCGGAGCCTCCTTCGCTGCCAGCGCTAGATGTGGAGCCTGCCGGGCAGAGCAGACAGCCCAGCGCAGACAAGGGCTTTAAACGGGGTCGCGAATACATGGTTACAAACTGTGATGTGTCCGTGAAGAAGAATAACAGAAAGATGCTGATTTAGAATAGAGGCCCGGGAAGCCCTTTCTAGAAACTCGCTATCTGGGCTCAGCCTGGTGAAGAGCAATACTGGCTGGCGAAGAAAGGCTCAGGGAGAGCGTTCCCCACACAGGGGAGAGCGTGGGAAAACCTCGGGGTGAGAGGCGGCGTGTGGGGACCCAGAAGGACACCTGTGTGGCCACAGCCTGGTGTCTCCAGGTCAGGAGCAGTGGAGCCGGCATCCAGCAGGCTGTCCTGGGAAGCTCAGTTTACTCTTACATAGTGGAAAAGTTGTTGGAAAGCCCTTGAGCTTGAAACGACACGATTCGACTTATGTTTCTAAAAGATCGACTGCGGTAGCTGCGTAGAAAGTGGATCAGCGAGGGCGGAGTGGGCAGGGGACAGCAGCGGGGGTGTGAACTGGGAGGGCACCAGTGGAGAAGAGAAGTGGAGGTGAAAGGGGGCCCGGGTGGGGCGTGGGGCACGGAAGTGTCGACAACGGCTGCCGCGCTCTGGCTTAGGAAACTGAGCAAACAGCAAAGAAAGAATTTTGCTCTTACTAATTTTTGGGCTTTTGTGATCCCTGGAATCTGTGCTTGTGATGAGTAATGTCTGTGAGTAACCAGATGGTCATTCTATTCCTCCTTCTCCCCTCTCCACCCCCAAACAGGTCGTGTGTGAGAGGAGCAAAGGCCGCCAGTTCAGACATCAAGAGGGAGGTGACCAATGGAATCTCAAAGGCGTCGAAACCAGACAGCCTGGAGATTGCAGCCGGAAGTAAGAACTGCTCCAGCCCCCAGAGGGCTGGCTCCCCGGCCCAGGCCACAAACAGCCAGCCTCAGCCCCTGCGGGAGTCCACCCTGGAGCAGTGTGGGAACCCGCCCGGAAGGGTCCTGCAGGCTCCCGTCCTCCGGAAGACTTCCAGCACCATCACCCTGCAGGCCGCGAGAGTGCAGCCGGAAGCGAGGGCGCCAGTCTTGGGGGCCCTGTCTCCTTCCGGAGAAGAGAGGAAGAGGCCAACTGCTCCCCATCCAGCCGCCCTCCCCTCTAGGCAGTCTGGCCTGGGAAGCCAGGAAGTTGTGGGCAAGGCTGCTACCAAGAAAATCCCCATGGAGAGCCAGAGGGATTTAACATTTCCCAAATTTGTGAGCAAGCCTCAAAGCCAGGAAGTCAGGGAAGATCAAACGGTCAAGTTCAGATGTGAGGGTGAGTAGAGTTAATTAAGTCACTGGTTCCCAATGTGTCACCCCCTGGTGGCCACTCCTTTCCTTCAGCACATAGCTGGTTGCACCCCTATATCCACCTGTCCCCTTGGACTAGGGTCCCCAGGAAACCAACTTATAAGGGTCTTCTCCGAAGTCTAGAAATTTCCTTTGTTCTGGAGAGACACCCAGCAGTGGCCCAGTGTTCACTGTGGAATAGAGCATTGGGCCTGTGCCCTAACCTTACCACCCTAGAAGGAACAAAACCCTCATCACCACCAGCATCAAAAAACAAACCCCAGGCTGTCTTCTTCTCCTTCCTCCCCTTTCCTGGCTTTGCCCAGCCTGGACACCTAGCCCCTCACCCTGTGTTCCTCTTCCCAGGGACCCCGACGCTGCCTAAGGCTGTGTAGGCCTGTGGAGTGCAGCGCGAGGGGCGAGGAAGCACTCAGGAGGGAGGGCAGCCCCACACCAGACTGAGCTCTGTGCTCCGGTGCAGGCCCTCCCCTCCCCCACCACCCACCACTACACTGTGCTCTCAGGGGCTCACGTTCTTCACCTGGCCCTGCAGTTTCAGGGATCCCAAAGCCTGAAGTGGCCTGGTTCCTGGAAGGCACCCTGGTGAGGAGACAAAAAGGCACCGTTGAGGTTTATGAAGATGCAGGATCCCACTACCTGTGCCTGCTGAGAGCCCGGGCCAGGGACAGCGGGAAATACAGCTGCACGGCTTCCAACATCCAAGGCCAGGTGTCCTGTAGCTGGACCCTCCTCGTGGAAAGTGAGTAAATTCCGTGGAAAGTGAGTAAATTCCTCCAGGTCACCCTGGATTCTCTGTGGGAAGACCATTCATGGGTGCTTCATATACTGCAGACAGCTCATCCCCTACAGCCCCCCATATACGACCCGGCAGAAATATCATCCCCACCCACACACCAAGGCCAAATACACTGCTCCAGGCCAGTGATTCTTACTCAGGAGTTCACAGCAGAATCACGTCCAAACAAACATGCCCAGGCCCCACTCCCAGCCCAGCCGAGAGCTACCTTTTTAAATCCCTCAGCTGCTCGAGCAGCCATGACTCATTTTCGTAACCATGGAGAACCAAGCGTTCACTAAACATACAGGTTTAGAGTAACGTGAGATGATGTGGGATCCCACATCTTTTATGTTTATTGTAATATCTGTTTATGAAAGTAATGCCTGTTCATTGTGGGGAATTTAAACTATATAATCTTATGACTCAGAAATAAATATTTTAATGTTTTTAAAATAAAATCAGAGTACTGTTTTGTATACTGCTTTCTATCCTAATTTTCTCATGTAATATAAACATCTTTACTATTTAATATTCTTTGAAAGCATAATTTTTAATGACCATAAAATATTGCATTGGATAGGTGTTATCTAATTGAGGTGTGCTCTTATTTGTTCAGTATTTAAATTGTTTCCATTTTTCACTATTATAACAAAACTGTGATAAATATTCTTGTGCCTGTCTCTCTTTAAAAGATTTCCCCCTCTAAATGCATATATGGACCCTAGACCCATGTCATACCCTTGAGAAACCTATTAAATAATACCACAAGGATAGACTTAGCAAATTGCAGGCTGTTGGAAACTCTATGGGACAAATAACCTTCACCCATTTTTTTCGAAACATAAATTGTAAGCAAAAAAAGGAAGGGAGAAACAACCTATAGGAAGCTTAGACTAAAAGGTACATAAGCAACATCAATAGTTGCAAGATACAGCCCTTGCGTGGATCCCAACTGAGGTAATTTTAGAAAAATTGTTTTAAGAACATCAGGAAAGTTTGGACATTGACAAGGTAGTTGATGTAAAGGAATTTGTGCTATTTTAACATGCGATGGTGGTCTTATGGTTTTTTTTTTAAGTTCATCTATTTTAGAGATATGAAGTGAGTTATTGACTAGTGAAATGTGATTTCTGTTATTTGCCTTAGAAATAATTCATGTTTGGAGGGATCGGCAGGGGTATTAATAAATATGGAGATACCTTAAAGAGATACAAGTAGAACTACCATTTGACCCAGCAATCCCATTACTGGGCATCTACCCAAAAGAGCAAAAGTGGCTCTATAAAAAAGACACCTGCACTCGAATGTTCATAACAGCACAATTCACAATTGCAAAGATGTGGAAACAACCCAAGTGTCCGTCAATACATGAGTGGATTAATAAACTGTGGTATAGGTATACCATGGAGTACTATTCAGCTTTAAGAAACAATGGTGATATAGCACCTCTTGTATACTCCCGGATACAGCTGGAACGCATTCTACTAAGTGAGGTATCCCAAGAATGGAAAAACAAGCACCACATGTACTCACCATCAAACTGGTATTAGCTGATCAACATCTAAGTGCACATATAAGAATAACATCTATTGGATGTTGGGCAAGGGGAGAGGGGAGGGGGGAAGGAGGGGACGGGCATATGCACAAACAATGAGTATGATGCGCACCCCCGGGGGAATGGACACACTTGAAGCTTGGACTTGGGGGGGAGGGAGGGTAAGGGCATCATACGTAACCTAATCATCTGTACCCCTATAACATGCTGAAATAAAAAAAACAATGACATCAGTATAAATGAAAGTTGAGAGATAGGTGCATAGGGATTCACTACCCTGCTTTCTTTTCTCTACTTTTCATATGTTTGAAATTTTCCATAGTAAATATTTCCAAAAATAATCATTTAGTGGTTTATCCTTACAGTAAAATGCAATGCAGCATTCTATAGACTCTCATGAAACAAGTCCAAAATACTCCAGTAATGGAAAAGCACAAAGTACAGGCTGCGTGCTATTACAGGGGCGATATGTTTTTGTAAAAAGAAGAAAATAACTATGTATATACATGCAAAAAGATGCTTGTGTGTGCATAAAACATTTCTGGAAGGGCACACAAGTTGCCTCTGAGAGGAGAAATTGGGGATCCTTGGGCAGGAGTAGAAAGGGGATCTTACCATTCACTGTATACTGTTGATACCCTTCTTAGCTAGGATTTTTACTATGTTCGTGAATTCCTTTGCAAGGAACGTTATCCATTCCATTGGGAGGTGGGAGTGCCCATAGGCAGAGTTCACGGGTCCAGGAGCTGGAGCCTCATCATCCAGGCCAGGGCTCTGTGTCTGGGCAGGGGACGCACATGGCATCAGGTCCACCAAAGGTTGATGGTGTACCCAGAGAGCCTAGTTGCTCCTATGACATCCTTTTCTGTGAATTTACCTAAGTCTTGTAGAAGACTAATTTTAGCCCGTTTGCATCTTGGGGCAGTTCATCTCAGGGTAACTGCTTGTCTTACTTTGTTTTGTGTGACAGCTTCATTGAGATATAATTCCACATAACATAAAAGCTACCCTTTTGACATGTATAATTCAGTGATTTTTAATATATTCACAGATGTGTGGCCATCACCACTATCAAATTTTATAACATTTCCATCACCCCTCCCACAAAACAATCTACCCATTAGTAGTCACTCCCCATTCTCCCAACCCCTGATAATCACTAATCCTCTTTCTGTCTCTATGGATTTTCCTTTTCTGAACATTTCAGATAAATGGAATCACACAATGTGTGGTCTCCTGTGTCTGGCTTATTTCTCTTAGCACAATATTGTCAAGGTTCATCTATTTTGTAGCCAGTATCAGTTCTTCATTCATCTTTATGGCTGAATACTGTTCCATTGTGTGGATATAGCATATTTTGTTTATCCATTCATAAGTTGAAAGATATTTGGTTGTTTTCTGCTTTTATTAATAGCTATCTTGAGGAGTATTGCTATGAATACTTCTGTATTTTTTTTTTACTACCTGTTTTCAATTTTAAGGGTTTACACCTATGAGTGGAATTGTTGGGTCACGTGGTAATTCTGTGTCTAACCTTTTGAGGAACTGACAAATTCTTCTAGTGGCTGCACCGTTTTACATTCCACCAGCAACGTGCAGGTGTCCCAGTTTCTCCACATCCCCACCAACACTGCTTATTTTCTATTTTCTAATTGTAGTGGTCCACAGGCATCTCATTTTGATTTTGATTTGCATTTCCCTGATGACTAATGATGTTGAGCATCATTTTATATGCTTATTGGCCATTTGTATAACTGCTTTGAAGAAATACCTATTCAAATACTTTGCCTATTTTTAATTGGGTCATTTGCTTTTTTTAATTGCTGAGCTATAAGACTTCTTTATATATTGTGGATAAAAGTCCTTTATTAGACATATGATTTACGATAATTTTCCCCCATTCCATGAAGTCTGGATAATTTGTCATGTGTAGCCACTGAAGTCCCTGCTTAGTTAGCTTAATGATCAGCTAATTGATTGGGTAGAGGTTTCCTTAAATGCTTTGAACCAGTAGTCTCCCAGCCTTTGCTGAGGGGCTGTGTGTGTTGGGGCATGTTTTCAATGCTCTGACTGCCAGTTTACAACTCTGCCTTAGCCTGTACTTCCTGCTTGCGCTGAGCCTCCAGGTCAGCCAGAGGTGAGACAGCAGGGCCTTCTCAGGTCTTCCCTGAGTATGTCCACAGCCCTGCACGTGCATGTCGCCCTCTAGGTTCCCAGGAATATGTCAGAGCTTTTCCAAGCCCTGGACATCCCATTCCCCAGGTTTTCCTTTTAAGTTTTTTGTCAGGCTCTTGTTAGACCCAAATGATTTTGCTGCCTTGAGTAGCTGTGATGTTGAACAATTACCACTGACCATGTTTTACAAACACCCTGGCTGTTCGCATAGAGCAAGCTCTGAGTTAAGTCACATAAAGACAAGCCTGAAAATGGAGCTATGGAAGGAGCTGCCATACAGGCCAAATAGTGCCAGTTCTCTTGGGGATGGGGTTGTTCAGGAGCTCTGAACCCACCCTGCCCACTGCTAGGCAGCTGGTCTTCACAGGTGCCATAGTTGCTGTTGGTTCTCAAAGCTACCCCAGAGCTGGACAAGGAGGATGGGAATAAATGCCACAAAGCTGGCTGTTGTTACCAAGATTCAGCTGAGTGGCTTTTTTTTTCTGGTGGGGAGAGGTTGTTGTTTGTTTTTAAATGAATGCTCCTGAGAATGTTGCAACCTTTGGTTACTTTCCAGAATTCTGAAAAAGTTGATTTTGATTCTTTTTGCCAGTATTTTTTTGGGGGGAGGAGGAGTAGCTTTTCAGAGGTCTTTACTCTGCCATTCCAGAAGTGCTCCTCGACTCCCTGTCTCCTTGAAGACACCAGCTGTTCTAAAACTTCTCTAGCCTCCAAAAGTCCCCGCTCATCCTTGGCACACAACTTTACCAAGAAGCAGGTTATCTGACGCATGCTCTTTTAGCTCTTCCTGCAGACCCTCCTCTCTCTTGTATACGGTCACTGCAGAAGAGCTGTCTGTCTCCCTTCCCAAGACTTCTCTTTCTGTCCCCTCCCGTCTCCACAAGGATCTGATCTAATAATGATTTGCTCTCCCACCATTTCTTCAAGCTCTTATCAAGAGGCCTCTTCTCTCCCTACCAGCTATGCTGCATGAAAAAGTAAAGAAAATCTTCCTTCCACCTGATGGTCTCTCAAGCTCCCAGTTCATCCCTCCACTCTTTCACCCCCAAACTGTACTTGCTGCACATATAGTCTCTGTGCACAGCTTCCATTTGATAATAACAGCTAACACCCATAGAGAATGTTCTATGTGCCAGGCTTTGTGCTAAATGCTCTACTTGCATTATTTCATTTAGTCATCCCAACAATCTTATGAGAAAATTATATTTACACCCATTTTCCAGACGAGAATTCTGAGTTGTAGTAAGGTTAAGTAGACTCATCCAAGTTCACGTGTCTTGTAAAAGAGAACTTACTTCTAAGCCAAGTTTGCTGGCACAAAAGCCCATGTTGTTCTCAATGACTCCCAAAGGCATTTCTCTAATGAGGGAATTTGACGCTGGCCGGGAAACCGGTGGGGATGGTGCCTCCCTACACCCGTCTGGGTGGTTTGTCCACCCCTCCCTCTGGGCCAGGCCTGTCCCAATGCACGTGATTCTGTCCTGTAGCTCCGCTCCCACCGCTACCCTCCCCTGGGCCTAGAGGAGAAAATGTGGCTGTAGAGTGAGAGAGCTGGTGGAAGACCTGGCTTCACCATTAGGCTCCGCTCTGGGAAATTATTAACCTCATCTGTAAAGTTAGCTCAAGATAACAACCTCATGGCATTGTCACAATCACACCTAGAAAAGTCACGTAGTAGGTCCTCAAATATTATCAGTTTTCTTACCTATGAATGCCTGCAATATAATATGCCTTTCCCCTCATGTCTGTATTGGATAGGCTCTCTTGTGACATAACTTCTAATCACCAGAGCCAGTTACCTTTCCTCATCTATAGTCACTTTGACACTTCTGCAGCATGTTCTGGTTGTTGTAGAAGAGATTATCTACCCCTATTGCTCTTAATTAAGGTCCCCAAACTGTAAAATGGTCCCCAGTTCACTAATGTAGGAGGCTTTTGGAAAGTTCCGCTCAGTGGTTCTCAGCTAGAATGTGGATTAGATTCATGAGGGCGCGTTGTTAATGCATATCCCCAGGCCCCCAGCAGGTCTGAACTCTTGACCTAGGTTGGGCCTAAAACTATACTTAGAAAACTGGAACGCATGTGAGTCCTTTGTCATTTGATTCAGATCTGGAATTAGAAAAAATAATTATAATAATTTAAAATTGAAACATCCTCACCTGTGGGCCTGTGCATTGTACAAGTAAAAAGATATTCACAAGACTGTAATCACTGATGGGAGTTCATGTTAAAGAAGAGAAGGGACAGTAGAGAGTAGAGCAGGACCACCAAGGCAGGAAGAAGGAGCTCTTGGGATGCCCCAGGAGGTGCCTGAGTCCCGGAGGAGCGAGGGCAGGCCCAGGTGCAGAGCACTCCAGGGCCTAGGGTGCTTTGTGACTGTGAAAAAGCCCCTGCCAGTTACCCTGCTTTGGGCTCCAGGGCTCCACGGCACGAGGCTGCCTGCTTCCTACGTGTAAAGAGAGAGAAGGCAAAGCCAGGCTGCTGGGAAGCCCTGGTGCCCAGGACAGTAAGGTGTCTGCCTGTGAGGCTGGGCGTGACTGCAGCCAGTCACCAGAGCAGGCAAGCTGTGATCTGAGATGGCCTGTCTGTCCTTTTCCCTCACAGGGCTGGCCGTGATGGAGGTGGCCCCCTCATTCTCCAGTGTCCTGAAGGACTGTACTGTCATCGAGGGCCAGGATTTTGTGCTGCAGTGCTCCGTGCAGGGCACCCCAGTGCCCCGAATCACTTGGCTGCTCAATGGTGAGTCACACTCGGCCCAGCCCTCTGCTCCAGTCCCCTAAGCAAGTTCCTCCTCCTTTCTGAGCCTTGAGTTCTTCATCTGCACTACGGGAATAACACCACCTACCTTGCAGGGTGGCAATAGTGAAATTAAATTAGATCATTTATATAAAGTGGTTCATGAGGTCCCTGACAGGTGCACAAGCAATTTAATTTCTTTTCATACAGTAATGAGACTTATAATAGGCCCTCAATTAATATTTGTTGAGACAATGAATGAACAATCAATTAACGAACTAATGAACTACGCCAAAGTTGCTAGAGGGGTCTCACCTTTTATTTAGTGGCAGGTGGTTCTAGGGTTCATAGACTAGTAATTCTTTTTAATGTTATAGACCTATCAAGACATGCCAACTCTTTTTTCTTAGTCAAGTAAGGTCCTTCGAAAAAATTAATTTCCATATATTTTCACACCCTCCCCCACTTTTTTTAAAGGCTAGTCAAGTGAAGCAGCAGGAGAAGGAACAAAGGAATCTATAACTGGTTGTGATCAATTCGTAGTAAACACCACTGCACTCGGACCAGCCTCACTCTTCTCTTTTTAAAAAGGCATTTAAATTTCACAAGTGTAGGGCAACTCTGATTTTCGGACTGAGAACAGTCCATTAGGTCCATTAAGTTGGTGAAATTGAGCAGGGCCGACCTTGGGGATCCACAGGGAGGGGGAAAGAGCTCGTGCTGAAAGTCGGGAGACACAGGCGCTCGTCCTTCTGCACGGGAGTGGTCAGATGACCTTGGACACTTCACCTGTCTGGCTGCTGTTGTCTTTATTGATGAGGAGATGGGCTGAAACAGAAGGTTTGGGGCTCAGCAGCTCCCACGTCTGATAGAACAGGCTACCGCAGAGGGCAGTGGCGCCCATCGCTCTCGCACCCTTCGTCCCCAGTGGTGTCTGCATCACGGATGGACCGCCTGTGAGCCTCCCTCATTGGTGTAGCTTGCTCAGGCTTTGCCAGAACCTATCTGGAATGAGTGCGAGGAGGTGCCACGTAGTCCTATGTGGAGTCCCCTTGGGTGGCTAAGTGCGAATGGAGGTCCGCCTTCCCTCCATTCCTCATCTGAAGACAGAACTCCTGCTGGATCCTGCGACTGACTGCGAGAAGGCAGCCCCCGTGCGGCTGGAACAGAATATGGGCATGAGGACTAAGAGTGGATCTGAGTGAGAGAGTTTCACTTCTGTCCAGCTCAACTGTCAACAAGCATTTTCTACAAAGGCCAGGTAGTAAATATTTTCAGCTTTTTGGGCTGCGCAGTCTCTCTAACGACTACTCAGCTCCACTGATGCAGTATTTATACTACAGCCATAGACAAGACGTAAATGAATGAGTGTGGCTGTCTTGCAATAAAACTTTATTTATGGACACTGAAATGTGAATTTCACATTATTTTTACATGTTATGAAATATTCTTTTTTTTCCCAACCACTTAAAATACGTCAAAATTATTCTTAGCTCGCAGGCCGTACAGAAATAGGTTGCAGGTTGGATTTGCCCACAAGTGGTACTTTGCTCACCTGCAGTTTACGCCTCTCAGGACTGTGCATTCTTGGTGACTCTTGGAGTTTCCTCATCCTTCCACTAGAGGGCGATTGTGCTCAAGTTGGGTTTCCTTGGCCACTAACTCTGGTCCACCCAGTCTCCCTCGGAGCTGGGAGAGCTCCGTGTTTCCCACTTCTGATGTGCCCTGAGCCAACGGCCCTTGCTGGGGCCTCCATCCCATCCCACGTTTGTGGGGCCAAAATAAGTTATGCTCCAGTAAAATGAGAGCTCTCAAAAAGCTTGTCAGCACATATTTGGACAGCGGCGGTGCATTGGCAGCAGTCAGGGAGTATAATGGTTTTCTCAAGGACGAGAGATTTTGGGGGTGTCATTGTCATAAAAAATAAGAACAAAGAGCGGTGTTTAATCCTCTCAGTGGCAGGATCCTGGCCCCTGCCATTTCCAGCTCTCAGCCCACTTTTATGAAGTGCAATAGGCTGGGAAGACTCTTCCCTCCGGCGGGACGGCATGCTTGGCGGTCTCTTTGCCAAGCTGTCATGGAGACATGAAGTGTTACGCTCAGAAGAAAACATTACATCGCAGAGAGAGGACTTCTTTCTGTACTTTCTCCTTCCCCCACTGCCCACCCTCGATTCTATGAAGTGCAAACCAGGATCCTGAGGCCGTGCAAGGGAAGAAACTGACAGTTGCTTCCTATATGGCGAATGGACACATTCCTGCTCTATGGCCAGAATCTGCAGTAATGAGATTTTCCCCCCTGGAAATGAAAGGTCACATCCTGGAATGATAAAATCCCAGGAACATGTAGCATTAAGGCAACCACTGAAGCTCGTAGCATGCCCTCCTGTCTCCATGCAGGACTTTATGGGACCTGAATAAAGGGCTTCTCATGAAGGGGACTCTGAGGAGAAGCGGCCAGAGTGATTTGTAGTTCCCCATGTTTATCTTTTCTGTGAACCCTAAAATACACCTGATTGCACAGGAGAAATACAATGAACTGCAACATTAGGTCGTGGATGCAGAATTGCTTTTTGATAAATATCTACAGTGGGAACTAGAATCAATGTTTCTGGAGACATCTGAAAGGAGCTGGGAGCCTCGTATTCAGACTGGGCAAGGTCTGTTCTGCCTGAGGCTGGCCTATGGGCCAGATGGCCCTGGAAGGTTCTTTCCAGGCTCAGAATTCCATGAATTTGAAAATGTGAATTTATAGACTATTTAACATAGAATGCCCCAAACTGTGTCCCTTTCACCCCTGTGTTCTAAACTCCTCCAGAATCTCCTCCCCTGTCCTGGCCCCATCTTGCTCCTCTACCCCACACACTTACTGCCTTCCTTCGTCTCCTTTCCAGCCCATGGGCCTCTGTCCAGCTGGCTGGGGATGGACCGACATGTCAGTAGCCCTCAGTGGATCTGAGCCAGCATGACAAGCGCCGGCGTCATGACAGCAGCAGCCCTGCTGAGGAAGGGCTCCCGTGCCACCGCCGGGTGCTCCTGGCTGAGCCTCCCTGTGCTTCCTCCGCAGGGCAGCCCATCCAGTACGCTCGCTCCACCTGTGAGGCCGGTGTGGCGGAGCTCCACATCCAGGACGCCCTGCCGGAGGACGATGGCACCTACACCTGTCTGGCTGAGAATGCCCTGGGGCAGGTGTCCTGCAGTGCCCGGGTCACCGTCCATGGTAGGAGACTCTGGTCACCTTGCTAGAAGCACGTTTCCTGTGGGATCTGCTTTGGAGGAAGGGCGCTTTTGCAGGAACGCTATTACTGGCTGAAATCCAGGGACCCGAAGGGCACGTGACACTGCCCCACACCGTTACCGGCGGGCAGTTGCCGTAACAGAGGGGAGGCTGCTGAAACCTCTTAGGGACAGAGGAGAGGGCCCTCAAAAAGCACCTGAAGGCTGGCAGGTGGAGGAGGTGGCCCCCAGGAGTTCACAGTGACAAGTGTCTGCTGTAAGAGTGGTCAGATCCCACCCCCTAAGCCCCCCTCCCCCAGGGCTATGGGAAGATGCAGGGGACAGAGGCAAGGGCTCCCCTGGCTCCAGGACCTCCTGGGCTGGTAGCAAGAAAACCTCATGTGCTGCAAGAGGACTTAGGAGGAGTATTCACATATTCCCTTAGCAGTTAGGGCCTCACGGATGACCCCTTTCCTTCTGTGGGACACTGGGTAACAGTGTGAGTATCGAGGCTTCCAGAGGGTCATGGGTTGTCCCCTCTCCCTTCTGCCCCTCCTTCTCCCCACCACCCCAGGCTTGTTTTTATACATCACCAGCCTGGTGTCCAGTAATCTGATTATCATGGTCATACATTGATCAGCCAAGCACTTAGTCTCGGGGGAGCCACAGACTCAAGACAGATCTGTCTGGGCTGTGGCATCGGCGGGCATGGTGACAGTTCCCGGAGAGGTGCTTCTTGGGTGCAGGGTTTTTAGGTAAGCCTCATTCCCATCCTTACCCTGGGCTGCGGCCCCAGCTCCTGTGTGTGACGGGGTCCTCTGGGTGCTGGGACGGGGTGCAATGTGTCTGCTTTCCCCATCAGACTAGCAGGAGACCACACCTCCTCTTTCTTTGTCCCACAGGCCTCAGGCCTCTCGGGAGAGTCTCCCTGTACTATGAGGAGCCACCTTCTGGGAGGCTGCAGGAGATGGATTCACTGAAAGGAACAGGGAAAAAACATTTGCTGCTTATTGTGTTAGATACTCTCCCCTCACCTCATTGAGACCTCAACAGCCCGGGATGGGGGTGCTGTCCCTACTTTACACAGAAGGGTCTAGAAATCTCGAGAAGTTAACGTACCATGTATAAGCACACCAGGCTGGTCAACAGAGCTGGCCTTTTGAACCCAAGTCCTGTGACTTTCAAGTCCATGCTCATTCCTACATCCTGCCCTTTCTCAGGGTGCTTGTCCCCAGCCCAAAGTGGGGGGCTGGCCACTGTGAGCTGGGCAGTGTCCGTCCCTCAGGGATAGAGGATGGCACTAATGGAGGGTGCGGCCAATGCTGGCCCCATGCAGCCCTCTGGCGGGAGTGAGCACGCTCTCTGGGCGTGGCGTGGTGAACTGGTCTACCCCTGCCTTCCAGGGAGCCCTCCACACTCAGGTTAGAGCCCGGCTCTGGCCCCCGGGCATTTGCCAGCGTTTACACACTTACCCCATTTACCCTCATAGTTCTAGCTTCATGGCTCACTGGGGGAGAGGAGGGTGTCAAGAAATTGTGATAATGAGACTTCAGTGGAAACCAGAGCTGCTCAGAGCCTCATCTCCTAGGGCCGGGGGACAGGTCTCCCCTTCTCAGCAGGGAGCTCTTCTTAGGGGTCAGTGTGGCCTGCCCCAAAGTCTAGTGAGGGGCAGAGAGAGTGAGAATGGCACACAATGGGCTGCATATCCCAGCCTTCCATTTTCTAAGACTCCATCCCCCCAGCCAAGAGCCCAGCTAATCCAGTGCCTGTCCCGGCTGCCTGTGTTTAGATTGGATTAGAGTGACCCAGCTGAGCTAACAGTCCCCCAGAGGTGGGGGTCCCTGACGAAGGACTAAGAACTCTTTGGCGCCATTCTCCTCACTCCCTGGCCTGTGGGGGGTGGGGCCATCCAAGTGGGTTTTAAAGCGGACACAGAGGTCCCAGGCAAAACCTCTGCCGGGGCGGTTCGGATCTGCTGTAAGAACAGGCCTCGGCCTGCAGGAGCGAGAACCCCCTCCCAGCGTGGGGCTTTGCTGGCCTGGGAAGCCAGACAGAGGCTCAGATACCATAAATGGTGAACGAGGCTGAGAGACGCAGCCACGCGCTTGGGCCGGCATTCGGGCTGTCTCAGCACAGGATTGGGGCAGGGCGAGCCTGGCACGGCGACACCCCTGGCACCGTGCCCCCAGGCACTCAGGAGGCGCAAGCCCGCTTCCTGCACCATCCTCAGCGGTGGAGTTTTTCTTACTTTATTGGCAGCTCCTTTGGCTCTGGGTCCTCTGGGGGCAGCCTGGGGGTGGGGAGGTGATTGCGGCCGAGCTGGGAGCTGCTGGTTCCCTCCGCACTGACTGTCATTCCGGCCCCTCCCTCAGCCGCCCAGGCAGGCCTCCCCTTCTGCTACCCTCGGTGTGCACCGCAGAGCGGAGCGGGGATGTGGGCGACTGCCTGGGTGTGAGTCCTGCTCCGCCACCCACGAGCCCTGCAACCCGGGCGCCACCTTCCTCTTGTGTGAAATGGGGGTACTGTGGTCACCTCACAGTGCTGTGAGGACTAAGTGAGTGAATACATGCCACCTCAGAACATGGGAGGTGCTCAATAAGGATGTGCCGTTATTATGAGGATCGTCCAGCAGAACCTGCCTTTAAACAAGATAAAATGGTTTATAACTCCAGGCCTGAGGAGTGCTTTCGCCAAGGGATCAGCTTTGTTTGTTTGGCAAGGGTAAGAGAGAACCTGAGAATCCCAGAAAGGAGGTGTTGGGCCAGATACCTGCAGCCACAGACTTGCGCACCTGTTCCACGGGCTCTGGCCACGAGATGGCGCCATTCAGCAGCGCATCTCCGTTCCCTGGTCTTTTCTGGGGGAGCTGTTTCTGGGGCAGCTCTGCTAGAGGCAAGCTCAGTCTGAGAGTTCAGCAGATACCATGCTGAAGGCCAGATGTGGGGACGCTTTCTCACCTCCTTCACCTCTTGCCAAGGTTTTGCAGTCGTCGAGAGCGCTGGCCCAGCACTCTGACTCGATTTCTGTGGCCACTCTAACATGCCTTCTCCACCTCCCCTCCTCTGTGTCCCTCTTCTCCCAAAAGCCTGACTAATGCCCGTAATCTCCTCTGGAAAGCCTACCCTAGTTGCCCCAGAATGAGTTCTCTTAACACCCCATTACTTCCCCTATTGCACGTATTTATCAATCAGTCTTTACTGAACACCTATATTTATTTGTGCCAGGCATTGTTCTGGGGAAACTGCAGAAGCAGGATGGACAAGGGTCCCGTCTTCATGGTGTCTCCATTCCGATGGGGATGTGGGCAAGAATCAACACCTGGTTACCTGGTTCAGTTTCAAATGCTGACAAGTGCCATTAAGAAATTAAGCAGGGGCCAGGTGTGGTGGCTCATGCCTGTAATCCCAACACTTTGGGAGGCTGAGGAGGCAGAATTGCTTGAGGACAAGAGTTTGAGACCAGCCTGGGCAATGTAGCAAGACCCTGTCTCTACAAAAAAAAATTTTTTTTAGTTAGCTGGTTATGGTGGCATGTACCTGTAGTCCCAGCTACTTGGGAGGCTGAGGCAGGAGGATCACTTGAGCCTGGGAGTTCAAGGCTACAGTGAGCTATAATTGCACCACTGTACTCTAGCCTGGGTGACAGAGTAAGACCCTGTCTTCAAAAAAAAAAAGAAAGGAAAAGAAACAGGTATGGGAATAGAGAAGGGCAGACTCTTTAACTGTTGTAACAAAGAGAGCCTCAGAGACTTCAATGAACTGGGGAAAGGGTCTCCAGGCAGGCAGCACAGCAAGTGCAAAGGCCCTGTGGTGGGGAATGAGGTTGGCCTATTCTAGGAACAGCAAGACAGCCACTGTGGCTGGTACAAAGTGAACAGGTGGCAGAGTGACAGAACATGAGTTCAGAGAGAGGGTATGTCATACAGGGCCTGTCAGGGTAAGGAAAAAGCATTTTATTCCGTGAAAATTTACTCTGATTTTACTCTTATTGCTTAATTGTCTTCTCCTCCAGACTGTAAGCTCCCTGCAGGGAGGGACCATGTCTTCCTCCTGTGTGTAGAACAGGGCCTGCCATGGGAGCACGTGTTCAGTGAGTGAGTGAGAGAGCAACCTGAGGTAGCTGGAGCTCCCTACCCCCACCCAGTGCAGAGAGGCAGTCCCTCATCTTCCTCACTTGTCTGGGGCTCAGTGCTCATTAGATTGTGCCAAAATCCACAAATTACCTTTTAGGAGTCCCTCAACAAACATTCCTTCTGTCCTCCTCACAAGCTAGGGGGAAAAATCCTCAATCGTTAACCAGGCAATGACAGTCTTCCCTCCTGACTGAGGATGGAGCCTAAAGAATGATTAATCCAATTCCTGCCGAGCCCAGAAGATTTAAGATAGAGCGAACAGTTCACTGTGTCTGGACTGGCAGTCGGGGGCGGGTGGACTTCTGTGGGCCAGAGCATTTTGAATTTATGTCCTTCCGGAGTATCTTTGTCAAGGCTAAAACTCTCAAGTGACTAGATTTATGTATAGCCTGCTAATTGTGCTCCATTTTGACGCAGTTTCTCAGCCTAACGGTTTGTTTATTTAACTGAAGGCCTGCTGGGCCTGTTAGAGACACCGAAGGACATAGAATGTGTAAGTTAAAAAGAAAAAAGCTGATCTCCAGAGTGAAAAATCAAATTTAACAAGCATATTTATTAGAGTATTTGCTTTGATGCCGAGCGCCTAAAGAAGGCACGGGCACCAGTGCAGCCAGCCATTTGCTTGGCAGCGAAAGCATCCGCAGAGGCAGTTTGCTTTCCGATTGGTACCAGGCGCTCTGTGGGGCATTCTGAGCCACCGCCTCCTCTCCACCCAACTTATACACAGGGACTCTGCATGCTGCACTATCGGTCCAGTTGGCATAAGGTATGACCCTGCCCTCCATGAGTTTAAAAACACTGACAACTTTTTAAATACTTATGTTGACTAAAGAGAAATTTGTTGAAGGAGAATAAATATTGGTTTTAACTTG